AGACCCTGTCCTTTAGAAACTGCCCATCCTGTCTCTTTAACCCAAAGGCCACGTGGGCATGGGCTTGGCAGCCTCCGTCCATCTGCTCTGCAGTCACCGGCCCTGTTTCTCTAAGCATGTTGGTGGAGGCGCTCTCGATACTCGGGAACAGAAATGTTGTTATGCCAATTCAAGGAGGTCTGGGTTTGCATGGGGCCCATGGACGTGAGGAGGTGTGTAAGGATGCTGTGAGTCCCCAGGAAAGGCCCAGCTCTGGGGTGCCAGGAAGCCCGGGTGGGCCTGGCTCTCCTGTCCTGTGTCCCTCACCACAGCCTCCCTTGGCTCTCTGGGACCAGTGCCTTCCCTCTGCCCCCCTTCCGAGGACTGCTCTTCCTTACTCATCCCGTGGGTGACCTAGTGTGGTCAGCCCAGGACGGACTCCCACAACCCTGCGCTCACCCCAACTGCCGCCAGCTCTGAATCGCTTCATAAAAGGTCTTCTCTTGAAGAAAGGTGATGGGGTACTGGACAGAGGTCACAGGTCAGGCCGCAAGGACCGGCAGGGCCACCGGGAGCCAGGGCCGTCCATCGGGGCTGCAGGGAATGTGCGGAACAGCCAGTTGGTTGGTATGGATTGGCTGCTGCTGTCCCTGGATCTCATGCCTAAGTCTCCACCTGGAAGGACAGGCCCAGAGGACGCCTGTCAGAAGGTGCCCCAGCCAGCCAGCACGGCCAGAGCCCCGGGTCCCCCTTCCTGGGCTGCTCAACAGGAAGGGGTCAAGGCTGGTCCCAGCGTGAGCAGAGCCAGAAAGCCCAGTCAACCTGTGTGTGCTCTAGTACTCCTGTCTCTCTTCCTTTTCTTGATCCGCTGTGGATCGGTGCCACGAGGCGGCAGGACCATCCCGCTGTGAGCTTGGGATCCCCCCACCTCCATGTTTGCCTTTCTGGAGTCAAGGGTAGCTCCCTCCCCAAGACACAGTGAAGCAGAGGAGCTGGGGTGGTTGTTCCTTCAAGCTCTGGAAATCCCACAGGTGGGAAATTGGAAGTTCTACGAAAAGAAAATCAGGTGCCGAACAAAATGTGGTAGAAAGCCATCTGGGGCGCTCGGCAACTCAGGGCCCCCTGGAGACTTGACCCACAAAGTGTAGGCTTCCAGAGCCCGCAGGGACCGTGAGGGCCATGGGCAACGGAGGTGGCTGCTGTCCAGGTTTGTGTTAAAGCGACGCGTCCCCCATGATGCCTTCAGAAACCTGCCCTCCCGTGTCGCTCCTCCCGCCCTGACAGCAGATGCGATTAACAGCATTTACAGATGGCATACTGGGGCTCCGAGTGGTCACGGTCTTCCCCAAGGGGGGGCGGGTGGTGTGTGAAAGGGGAGCCGGTGGGCAGAAGGCGTAGCTGGTGGGGATGGACGCTGGGCTTCTTGTTCCTCTTCCCGCTGCTCCTGCCACAGCTGTCCTTGGAAGGAGGCTGGTCCGAGTGTAGACACCGAATGACCTGGGAGCCCAGGTGCTGTGGCCAGGTGCGTGCACTGGCTGGTGGGGCCTGCGGGGTCCTCTCCGGCTCCGACCCCAGCCTGGGGCAGTTACGGGGCAGCAGGAAGGTTCCAGAAATTCCCATGGACATTTCCGGGCCGCTGCTACACAAGAAGCAAGGTCAGTGTCCAGCAGGCGAGAGGCCCCCTGAATCCTCATGTTTCTCTCCTCTTGCTCTCTTATCCCGGCTGCCAGTCACACCGCATTAAAGAGTCTGGCAGCTCGGCCGTGCCGACTTGGGAGAGCCACCCTCACTGCCTCAAGCTGGGGGAAGCACAAAGTCTTTGCTTCTCCGCTGACTTGCTGCTTGCATGTCCCCCTTCCACGTTTCATGTTACAACACTTGTTCTTGGCACTTCTTCGCTGGATAAAGGACCTGCACAGTGATTCGGCATGTGAACAAAAAGCTATGTGGCCTCCTGCCAAGGCGGCCTGGGGGTCTCCTGGGCTGAGCAAGCCTCTCCCAGAGCCAGGAGCACCTGAGCTAAGCTGGGGGGCTTCTCGGGCCACTGGCGGAGAATGCCACAGTCCCAGCACAGCTGCCGCCTCCCAGGAGCACCCGCCACTGTGCACCTGCCTCTCCCCTGCTTGGCCCTGCCAACAGTGTGTTCACTAAGGTACCAGCGTGGCTCTCACACAGATAGAGTGACCCCACGCCAAAGTCGTCCTTAGCAGAGCAAGGGAACTAGTAAGATGTTACAGCCAGCTCAGAAGAGAAAGCAAAGAAGCGTAGACTCGTGTGCAGGAAAGGAACCCCGAGACCGATCTACAGGTGGACAGTGCATGACCTCCCAGCGGACACACAGCGGCATCCCTTCTGTTTATTCCAGATTTCCTCACAGTCTCCTGGCAGGTTGTCAGAAATAATCTCAGAGAAGGGTTCTTCTGGCTCACGAGCAGGGCTGGCCTGGCGGGGATCGGCTGGGCCATTTGCAGGGGGCGGCGAGAGCATCGGCCTGCCTGCTGGGCCCGCCCGAGTTCGCCTCGCTAGGAGGCCTGTGGTTGTGCGTCTTAAAGCTTCTGGGATTTGCGTTCCAAAGCTGAGAAGGCGAGCCCAGCACTCCGTCCTCCAGAGGCGAGAGACTCACAGACGTGGGTGAAGCCGCTGCAGACGACCACGGCGAATGCCCTGTGTCCCCTGTAAGGTCCCCTGCCATGCACTCTCGTCCTCCGAGCACGGGCATGGCGATCCCATGGAGTTGTCTGCGTTTCAGCCACAGAGTTACGGTCTGGACACGGTCCGAGCGAGGCGGTCAGAAGCCGGTCCCCAGGAGTCTGGCCCTCAGCGCGGAGCAGTGCGTCCTCCTCCCTGGGGTCCGAGGTGGTCCTCCCCAGCCGAGTCCCAAGCTGGCCTGTAGTGATATGGCAGAGGCTTGGGGCAGGCGTCGCAGGAGAACGGAGCCCTCTGCTGCCCGGTTCTGCCCATTCCATGGAAGATAAACTTGACGCACAAAGACGCTCACACAGGGCCACAGAGGAGCCACCCCTCCCCGGCAGGAGGGACCCCACAGTGCAGGTGTGAGCTGCTGATCCAGGGAGCCTGGTAAACAAGATGCAGGGGCCCAAACCCCAGGCTTCGGAATCCTCGTGCCAGGGCCTGGGAGTCGGCAGCCCCAGCTGAGGAGCATCGACAGCATCTCCTCGGCAGGGCCAGGGGTCGGGGGGAGCAGCTGCCTTCCCCTCTGCAAGCCTCCTCCTCCGCCCACCCCTGCCCTTCACCTGCACAGTCAAAGGTTCAGCTGAGAAAGAAGTAGAGCCGTGCCAGTGGGGGAATGGCCAGGACCCCAGCCTCAGCCCTCCCACCCCTCACCTCTCACGGCACAGCTGGAAAAGCCGAGGCACAATTATGTCGCTCAGACCTGTGCTGGGGCCGCTGGGGACGCGCTGTCGTGAGAATGCAGGCCTGGCACGTGGTCAGATAAAGTCAAGGCTCCTCTGCAGGGGGGTGGGGAGGCTCTGTCCCGCGGCCAGGCGCGGGGAGAGGGGCATCCAGAAAGGGAAGGAGTGGCACCGAGCCAGGGCCCGGGGAGGGGCTCCATGGCCCACAGTGAAGGCGGGATAGGCGCCTGGCGAGGCCCGAAGCTGGAAGGGACAAGTCCTCGGCCCTCACGTGCCCAGCCAAGGAGGTGGACCGGCTGGGCATGCGGGGCACGCGGGACAGCAAAAGTCTCTGCACAGAAAAGTGGCATGACTGGGTCTGAGTACCAGGGCTGGGAGCTGGGGGGACCAGGAGCAGGGATGGGCGCAGGGGCCGCTGCAGGATCCCGGCTGAGCCAGGACGGCGGCGGCCACCAGGTGCACAGGGCAGACCACGCCAGCACTGCACGTGCGGATACGGTGGAGAGAAGGCGAGCCAGCTCGGTCTCGGTGTGGCCGGGCCAGCAGCAGGCAGGAAGTGGTGTTAGTCACAGGAAGGCTGGGTGTATGGGGGAGAATAGTCACTGCCCCCATAAAGGGATATCCTGAGGCTCTTAGATGAGAAAGCGGGGCTCTGGGCACCGGAAGATGCCCGCCCTTCCCAGGGGTGAGGGGAGGGGGCAGTCAGCCAGGGAAAATGTGGAAGGAAACCCTCTCCTGGGGTGGAAATGGGGGCCATGGTGTGGATTGTTCAGGCCCATCAGCCACGGAGATCAGAGCCCTTGCTGTACTTGAAGCCCCCTCCCAGGGAGGGATTTGGAGCAGAGACACACTGTCGGGACCCCCTGCACCAAAGATGCTGATGCAAATGTGTTTCTCTCCCGTCCCCAGAACTGGACCCCCAGGCTCTGTGCACCTGCCTGCACGTGATGGTTTTTACCGTGGAGACGGCCAGTTCACTTTGGAGTTTTCCCATTGTGATGCCCCTTGGATTTAGTCCTACAGCCTCAGCCCCAAAGTCCATAAAGGCAATCTTTGTTTTTTAAGCCAATGACCTTTAAAAAGGTATTTTGGGAGGGCCTGGGTGGCTCAGTCGGTTGATCGTTCGACTCTTGATTTCGGGTCAGGTCATGATCTCGGGGTCGTGAGATCCAGTCCCATGATGGGCTCTGTGCTCGGCGGGGAGTCTGCTTGAGAGTCTCTCTCTTCCTCTGCCCCTGTCCCCACTTGCACGCTCTCTCTCAAATAAATAAAAATAAATCCTTAAAAAAATAAAGAGTTCTTCTGTTTTTTACATCATGGCCCCCAGGTCTCACTGGAGACTCCCCACGGTGGGGTGTCATGAAGCCATGTGGCAGCGCCGTCCTGGGTGGGTGTGTCTCGTGGGTGAGAGCGTCACCTTCGCGACCGTTTTCAGGAAACAAACGAAGGAACTCTTCGGTTTGTATGGACAGACTCAGTGACAAGACATACGTGTGGCATTCCCAGGCCCATGGTTACGTCGTCTCTTTTTTACGATAAGCCTGCAGGTTGGGCCGGAGAGAAAGCTCGGGGACCCTGACATCGCCATGGAAACCCGCTACGCAGCTCCGGCCCGCCCCTAACGGCCCTGTGGCTTGTGTCTTGCAGGTGGTCTTTAGCAAGTACTGCAACTCCAGTGACATCATGGACTTGTTCTGCATCGCCACCGGCCTGCCCCGGTGAGTGGTCCATCCCGCCCCCCAGCAGGGCGCCCCCACCAGCAGGGTGCCAGTTCCCCTAGAGAGGAGGGTGCCTGGGAGAGAGGGTGAGCCGCAGGTCTGAGGGGCGACAGGTGGGCCAGGGCCCCGTGGGCTCACCTTGAACACAGGGGCCCTTTCTGATCAGTGAGTGAAACCCCACAGGTGTGGGCCACGGCCTGTCCCCAGCCTGCCGGACTGTCCCCCACACTGTGCATGCAGGAAACCACTGGGCAGAATTAGGCAGAAACCACTGTCTTAAGGGGGTTTTTTTCCTTTTATTTGCTTTTGAAGAAAGGACAGAGGAGGGTGGTTGTGTTTTGGCTTTGGCCCCCCAGCCCGAGATGATCCAGCAGGTGATATTTTCTATCTTGGGGGTGGCGGGGTGGGGGGTGCCAGAGAGCAACGTTTGGGAAGACAGATTTTCAGAAAGTAGTTGGAAAGGCCAGTAATCCCCTCATAGAATCATCAGACTTCCAGAAGAGTCTTTTCCCCCGGTCGGCAGCCTGTTCGAGTACAGCTTCTATCCTCACTCTCTGACTGTAGAATGGCCAGGGGTAGCCGGGGTGCGGCATCTAACTCCGGAGCTGTGACCCTGGTCGAGGATGGGGACAGGACCTCAGCAGTGTCACAGGCAGGGAAGGACAGGCGAGGCGCCCTCTGGAATTGCAACAAACAACAGTTTGTAGCTGCAGAAACAGCCCGCAGCCTGGGGCGTCTTCGAGCTTTGTGCTAGGAAATAGACACAGTTCTTGAGAGCACCCCGAGATTCGGGTGTCACCCCCAATGCACGCACCCGGAGACCACAGAGGCTTAAATAAGGTGGTCGAGGCCACACCGCTCGCCCAGAGGCCCCAGGGATGAGAGGCTGGGGGGAGACTCCGCTTCCCTGCCCGAAGGTGCTTCCTAGGAGAGGCTCCCCCGCGCCCGTGGCTTCCTTCAGAATGGACAGAGCACTGGGAATTACTCATAGCCACCTGTGTGTGTACAAAGGCAGGGCCATGTCCTGGGGCCGAGCCAGCTCCCCAACTACCCATGCAGTTGTCCCCTCGGGCGTGGGGACACTGATGCGGGGTGTCTTCCAGGAACACGACCATCTCCCTGCTGACCGCGGACGACGCCATGGTGTCCATCGACCCCACCATGCCCGCCAATTCAGAACGGTAAGCGGCGGCCTCTCCAACACTTCTCTACACACACAGGACGGGCTCCACGGTTGTCCTCTTAGTTCACTGCTGTGGGAAAATCCAAATTGAAACCAAAGATGGGGTGGGGGTGGGAGGGTCCTTTGCAGACCAGTCACTTTCCAAGATAATTACAGGTGCAGGTGTGCTCAGGGGCCGTTCTGAGGGCTTGCTCGAAACAAGAGTCCCCAACAAGAGGAGGCACAGAGGGGGAAACTGAGGCCCTGAAGGCAAGTGAGGTCAGTGGAGCCAGGCCCCAGGGCGGTGCACTGACTGCCCCTGTCCTGCTCCGAAAGGTTCCCTGACCCTCACTGTAGGTCCCCAGAAGGTCCCCCCGACACCCAAGGTGTGTGCACACCTGAGCACCCAGCAGTGAGCGCCTGCTCTCCCCCCTGCCCCCAGAAGCCGGCCTGTCAGCCATTTCCCCCGCCCAGGGCTGGGTGCAGGACCCCCAGGCCCTGGCAGGCGCACAGCTAAGCCTTCAGTGCAGAAGGCCAGACAGACCCCGTGGGAGGTACAATGCCATCACGAGCCTCCCAGCCACACCGTCCCTCGGGCTCCGTGGTCCGTGGCGGGCAGCATCCTCCGTGCCCCCAGATGCCTCCACTGGGCCCCCTCGCCAACTGTGCCCATCAGTCTTCCCAAATTTCGTCCATCAGGAGCTCCTGCCCCACGCCCTCTGGCTCTGATTATCAGCTCGGGGCTCCCCGAAAGGAGCAGAGCTGACCAGCTCCCCAACGACTCCGGTGAGATCCTTACAAATCCTGGCACACCCACTCCGGCCCGACCGGACAGCGCCTCGGAAGCGAGGTCTCCAGCGACCGGTCACCCCTGACGTCCGTGAGGTCAGGGCAGATGTTTCAGTCCAACCAGGGCCCCGTCGGCGCACAGTGGGACCTGCTCTCTGAGCAAAACTGTGTCTGCTTAGCACTTTACTCCCTGCCAGAGGCTGTTGGCAGGGGCGGTTTTGTTCCCCAGGGGACACTGGGCTGTGTCTGGAGACATTCTGGCCACCATAGATGGGGGGCACGGTCACATGCGGCGGCCAGAGACCAGGGCTGTTGCTACCAGCCCTACTGTGCGCCCCAGCACCGACACTCACTGCCCGAAATGCCAGGGGTGCCGAGGTCCAGAAGCCCTCTCGGCGTTTTCTCTTTACAGAGCTACTGGTTATCCGCTCAAAGGTCACCAACCCCCGACCCAGCTCCGCGGAGGCTGCCCCTTCCCCCTCCCTCTCTCTGCCCCCAGGTTCTGACTCTCCGTCTCTCAGGGGCTGAGCCCCAGAACTTGCTTTTCTCTGGGCTCCCAGGTGCTGCTGGTGACGCTGGGTGGGACCCCTGTGCCCCCTCCATTGATGGGACCTCCTTTTCCTCCACTGGCTTCCCTGCCGCCTCTGTCTTCTTCCCACCGTCCGCCCCGGGGAGGTGGGTGCGCTCAGGGGCATCCTGCTCAGCCCCGCACCCGTCCCCCTTCCCAGGTCACATCCTAGCGGCCCCCAGCACGGCCCCGTCTGCTCTGGTTCTCTTCGTTCCCGCTGCCGGGGGGTCCCGTCTGTTCCAGGATAACCAGTCCCGCTAACCCAGTGACTTTCAGCCCTGCCGAGGACTAAAACCACCCGAGATCTTCACAAAGGCACCGATGCCCAGACCCCTGCTAGAACCCGTTCAATGTGGAGTTTTGAGGGAGTGCTTAAGGCTCACCAGGTGATTCCAGTGGGCAGCCTTGGGCGAGGGCCACTGATGGAAAGTGTGGAAAATGTAAGAAAGTGCTCAAACCTACACGGATTTAAAACAACGTGTTACCTGAGCTGCCAGAACCCAGACACATTGTGACACAGTCTCTAGGGAAATGAACCCCTAGTTCCAAGTAACCAACTTCCAGAAGACCTTCTGAAGTAGGGCCCTTTCCTAAGTGAGAGCAGGGTATTCCCAGGGGAGAGGTGATGGTGTGGACTCGAATCTCGACACTCTGTGCCGGGAGGGACCCTCGTGGAGCCGTCCGTCCATCATCCAGGATAACTCTGCCGTCCAGTTTTTATTTTATACTTTATTTGTGTTTTCAATGGTCAGAGTTTTCCACGTGGCCTGTAACTGTTAAACCACAGGTATCCCCATCGATCACTGCTAACAGTGGGGTACGTCGGAGTCCCTCCAGATTTTCTGTGCTTGTTCTCTGTTAGTCCATAACGTGCTCAGTCCGCCCACCATCCCCTCAGGTCAACACCTGCACATATATCTCCCTTTCTGACCACGGACTGACACTGCACGGAACAGCGAGTAGATACGCAGTGCCCTGCTGACCAGGGCTGAAAATTTGAAGCGCTCCGCCGTTCAAACAGTGCGGTGATACCCGTCCTCAGGGTGTAGTTGAACATGGACTGTCGGATCCCTGAGGACAGGAGCATTTTGTCCTGGTCACTGTTCTGTGACCTGTACCTGATCCCAGAGAGCACTCATGACAAACGACCGAACGGACAAACAGATGACATGGACAAATGACGTGTGAAGGTGTCCCCAGGGGCCAGCGTTTCATCTGATACCCTTGTTCCTGAATTCATGGGCTGAGTCAGAGGACTGAACATCCGTCAACCGGTCCCGCCAGGCACCTTCCCCAGGACCGTGGGGGTGCGCGCCCCGGCCAGCAACGCGGTAGCATGTCTCCCTGGGCCCCTGCAGCCTGTCTGTTGAAACTTTGCTAAACTACTAGGTAAAAAACGGCATCTCTCTTGAGCCTTTCTTAAAAACTGTCACCAGCTATTGCGTATTCCTGCTCTTTTTGACCTCTTCTCCGTGGCTCCATTGTCTCTCCCTCCCTCTCTGCCGTAGGTCCTTGTGTGTCAGGGGCAAACATTCTCCCATCTGCTCTGGGCCTCGGGACCGCTGGGATGGCCTCACCAAGTGCATGTTCAGCCGAGGGACCCACCCTGTCTTCCCTCGTGCACCTGGGAGATGCAGTTGCCGTGAGCTCGAGCCAGGCCTGGGACAGAGAGCCTCCCGCATCAGTCGGGCGTCCGCCCGGTGGATTCGGGCAGCTCTAGTGGTCTTCCGCACCCGAGTAGCCGTGGTGCTGACCACAAAATGTGTTCAGTTCACCAAATAGGAACATCACAGAGGAAGTTCATCATTTAAGTGATATATTTAAAGTATTTGGAGTTCTTCCGAACGAGGAAGCTCAGAACTGCCAAAGAAACTAATTTCAGAAAAAAAAAATAGATAAATAACCCTAATCCACTGAATTCTAATTTATCCCGAGCGGCTTATCTCTCACAGCAGATGCGCCAAGAACACCTCTGATGGCATCTCACAGGGGAACTGTCTTCTGTCTTGCAGCACTCCCTACAAAGTGAGACCTGTGGCCGTCAAGCAATTGTCTGGTAAGGCCCTGCTATCATTTTTAAAATTAAAAGAAAAAAAGAAGGCTCCAGGCTGCCCCTGTGATTGAATATATATTAGGTAAGCGTTTGAATCTAAAACCCTGTGCTGTTACAGAATCCAAAGCCCTATCTTAGACTCCACCCTTGACAGTCCCTTGGGGGCCTCCCTCCCATGCTGTCCCTTACTGACTCAGAGGGCGCTGGGTGACGTTCCGCCCGTGTCGTCCTGGACACAGGGCCTGTCCTGCTCACTCAGACCATGAGCCGCCAAGGTGGGCCATCTGCAGCCCCCAGCTCCCAGGATGCTTCGTGTAGCCAGTGGTGTTATTTTGCTAAAACCCATTTCCTTTTGGATCTTTTATTTCCCTTATTTATGTATGATTCATGCATCATAAAATGTTCCCATTTAAGTGTAGATTTTGATGAGCTTTGAAAAATGTATCCCCGCCCCCATAACTGTTAACCAGAATCAAGACACAGAACATTTACATTACCTGAAAAGGTTCTTCTGTGCCCCTTCCCAGGGAACCCCCTCCCTCGACCCCTGCTCTCTGTCAGCAGCTGACCCGCCTTCTGACACCGTAGATTTGTCTTTCCCAGAGCGTCGTATAAAAGATAGCCCATAGTACGTGTGCTCCTTTCTGACTTTCTGACTCAGCCTGACGTCTTTGAGACTTGTCTGTGTGTTGGGTGTCCCAGGAGCTCATTCCTTTTTATTGCTGGGGAGGTTTCATGGTGTGGCCGGGCTGCAGTGTGACTACCCATCCACCTGCTGAAGGACACCCGGGATTACTTCCAGTCTGCGGCCTTTATGAATAAGGCTGCTGTGAGCGTTCAAGTGCATGCCTCTGTGGGGACACATATTCTCATTTCTCTTGGATTGAACAGGATTGTATTTGTTTCACTTAAAAAAAAAACAAAAAACCCTAATCCCTTTTTTCCAAAGTGGCAGCACCATCTTGCATTCCCACCCACGGTGTGCGCGCTCCTCGTCTGCACTTGGAACTGTCTGCCCCTTTTATGTGAACCATTCTAATGGGTGTGTGGTGATACTGCATTGGGTTTGAATTTGTGTTTCCCTAGTGACTAACGAGGGGGAAAGTATTTACTAACCGGTCATAAATCTTCTTCTGTGAACTTCCACAGTCGTCGAGACTTGCTTCCCATACTGTCAAATAGTGAGTGCTCCTGATCGGTCGGACACACCCTGTTAGTCAGATGTGTCTTGTGAATATTTTCTCCCCGCCTGACTCACTGTTTCGTTTTCCTGTTAGAGCCTTTCAGTGACTAGAAGTATTAGATTCTGATTTAGGCCTGGAGGACCCATTTTGTTCTTTTATGGTTTTGCTTTGGGTGCCCTAAGAAGTCTTAGTTCATCCCCTATCTGTGGGGTCATCGGCCATGCTTTCTTCTAAAAGTTTTATTTTTTTTTTAGCTTGCACATTTAGGTCTGTGATCCATTTCAAGCTGACTTTTGTGTATGGCCTAGCCAAATGTAGAGGCTTATTTTCCTTTTTAAACTGTGAAGTTAACTTAATTTTTATTTTTTTATAACATTGATTTTTTGTAAGATTCTGAAGAACAGAATTCTGAAGCCACCTGTCGTCGGGTGCTGGGCAGCGAGTGAGGAGGGACTGAGGCATTGGGCCTTTTCTCGTCTTGACACTTGACAGTGTTTACACATGGGCGCTGGTTGCTTTAAATATTCTTTAATGCTTGAGAAGCTCTTTGAAAACTCTTAATTCAATCCTTTTGATAGTAGATGTTAGAATAAAGTAGGAGTTCTAACTTATTCTAGGATGACAATTCCTTTTTAACGTGAAAGGTACTCGAGCCCTTGACTTGGTAACAAATGTGATATTTTTTACATTGTTTTTAACTAAACCCCATACTTTATGCGGATTTCACTAGTTTTTCTCCTAATGTCTTTTTTCCGCTCCAGCGTCCGAGCCATGGTCCAGCCCGTCGTGTGCTCATCGATGGGTCTTCCCGGTTGGCCCTGGTCTCGCAGGTGCTCACACTCCCCTTGTTTGGCCTCAGAGCATCTGTAGAATGTCCCCCAGGCTGGGTTTGTCTGATGTTTTTCTCATGCTCAGCCCAGGGGTGTGGATTTGGGGAAAGAATGAGGAGGTCCAGGATATCCTCTTGACTCATTGCCCTCTCCGCTGTGAAGTTACTGTCTTTCCCCTTCCTTACTCTATTCTTTGGAAGGCATTGCTCAGTCCAGCCCTCCTTCAGGTGGGGGAGAAAGAGACTGACATTCATTCTCTCTGTGTGGATATCCACTTGCTCCAGAACGTTTGTCGAGAAGACAGTCCTTTCCCCCAGTGAATTATCGTGACATCCTCGTCAACACTCAGTTGACCATGTATGTGTGAGTCTTTCTCTGGACTCACTGTCCTGTTCCATCAACTGACTACACGTCTGCGCTCAAACCCCTGCCACGCTGTCTTGATTACTGTGCATTCACGGTAAGTCGTGAAACCAGCAAGTCCTCTGATTTCTTTCTTCTTTTTCAAAAATATTTTGCTTATCCCAAGTTCCTTTTATTTTCACATAAATTTTAGAATCCATCTGTCAGTTGCTACTAAAAAAAAAAAGTCTGCTAGGACCTTGAAATTGTACTGAATACATAGAACACTCGAAAAGAATTACTATCTATAATGTTGAGTCTTCTAATTCATGAATATGGCATCTCTCGATTTACTTAGGTTTCTCTTAATATCTCTCAACATATTATAGTCGTCAGGGTAAAGTTCTTGAATAGATGTTGATAAATTTATCACTAAGTATTTAATATTTGTAATGCTATTGTCAATAGATTTTTAGGCCAATTCCCAGCAGTTTTTTGTTTCTAAAAATATAATTGGCTTTGTGTATTGACTTAACTAAATTCACTTAGCAGATCTAGTGCCTTTTTGTAGATTTCTTATGATTTTGTACATCTGCCAATAGAGAATTCCTTCTTCCTTTTAGATCTGGATGTCTTCCGGTTCTTTTGTTTCTTGGGGTCTTGACTTGTTGCCCTAGCTAGGGTATCTAGTACAAGAGAAGTATAAGGTGTGACAATGCAGATTCTTGGCTCTGTTCTCATGTTAGAGAGAACATGAAGTTTTCCACCATGAGTTATGATGTTAGCTGTAGGGTTTTTTATAGATGCCCTTTATCAGGTTGAGGATTTTTTTTCTTAATTCCTAATTGGTTGAGAGTTTTAATCATAAATTCGTGTTGGATTTTGTCAAATACTTTTCCTGCCTCTATTGAGATGATCGTGTTTTTTACTCCTCTGTTCTGTTAGTGGTGGATCTGTTGATTGATTTTAAAACTTTAACCTTGAATTCCTAGTATAAACTCTATTTGGCCATGGCGTACTGTCTCTTTGTTTTGAATTCAATTTACAAATGTTTTATGAAAGATTTTTGTGTCTATATCAACAAGGGATCCATAGTGTTATTTTTTTACAATATGTTCAACTGGTTTGGGCTTTAGGGTGATGCTGGCCTCATGGGATGAGGGAAGTGCTCCACCCTCCTGCCTTCTGGAAGAGTTTGTATAGGGGTGGCACTGTTTCTACCTTAAGTGTTTCATAGAATTCACCAGTGAATCCTCTGTGCTTGGAGTTTCTTTGTGGGAAGGTTTTAAACTATGAATTCAGTGTCTTTAAGAGATAAGTATGTCTGGGTTTTCTGTGTACTTGGGATTGACTTTAGGAAGTGGTGCCCATTCCAGTGAAGATTCATCTGAGAATCTGTTGGTATGGTGGAGCTTGGGAAGTCCTTGCCACCCCTTTTATGTCTATGGGATTGGAGTGAGACCTGCTCTTTCTTTCAGGATACTACTAATTTATATCTTCTCTCTTTTTAATCAATTAATCAGTCTGATTTATACATTTTATTGACTTCTTTTTTCTAAGAGCTAGCTTTGAACTTCATTGGTTTTCTCCATTGTCTGTCTGGTTCCTATTTCAATGATTTCTCCTCTTACCTTTTTATTTCCTTCCTTCTACCCACCCTGTGTCTAGTTTGCTCCTCTTTTTCTGGCTTCCAAAGGTGGAAGCTTCGATCATTAATTTTAGATCTTTCTCTTTTTTACATAATAATTTGAAGTTAAAAATATCTCTCTAAGTACAACTTAGCTGCATCTCATAGGTTTTGATGTGTTGTGTTTTCATTTTTATCCAGCTCAAAATATTTTCTGATTTACCTTGTAGTTCCTACTCAGATCCACTTGTTATTTAGAAGTGTATGTTTGATTTTCAAATGGTTGTATATTTTCCAGTTATCTTTCTGTTACTGATTTCTAAGTTAATTCCATTGTGCTCAAAAGTGGACCCTGTTTGACTCCTGTCTTAATTTATTGAGATGCATGGTGTATCTTGGTGACTGTTCCAGATACACCTGACAAGAGTGTGTATCCTGCTGTTATTGGGTGGAATACTCCACCAGTATCAGTTAGGTCAAGTTAATTGATAATGTAGTACAAGTTTCCTGTATCTTTATTTTTCTGTCTACTTGTTCTATCAGTTACTGGAAGATGGGTATTGAAAGATCCGAGTCTCTTGTGATGTGTTCACGGCTTTTCTCAGTTTGTCAGATTGTGCTTTGTGCATTTTCTATTCCTGTTATTGGGTGCATACTTATTTAGGATTGTTGTATCTTCTTAATGGGTCAGTCCCTTTAGCCTTAGGAAAATGTGGCCTTTATCCTTCGTTCCATTATATCATCCTTATCTCCTGTTAATACAGCTACCTGGGCTTTCTTAGACTTAATACTCACATGTTATATGCTTTCCGTCCTTTTACTTTGAATATATCTGTGTCTCTATTTGGAGCAGGTTTATTATTGGCAGCATTTATCAATTTTGGCAATTTCAGCCTTTCAATTGGAGCTGTTAAACCATTTACAATAAACATAATCATAGATAAAGTTGGGTTAAATCTACTACTCATTTTGTTTATTTCATTCATTCTTTTTTTTTTTTTTTAATTTTTTCTCTCTTTT